TTGGTGGTACTCCATTGCCTTTTGTAATATGCTGTCACTTTTGGTGGCATCTCGGACCGCGTCAAATTCAAGGGTGGTGGTTCATGGTCTCCAACACCACAAAACGGACTTCCGGTTCGACTGCAACGGTTGCTTCGACGGTGTCTTCTAGTTTCACTTCACGGGAAGCAACAAGCCGCGATGGCGCATCGGCCTGCTCAATTTTCTCGGATGAGGCATACTTTATGGTAATGTTGTAGCCGAGCAAAATCGTGCCTCATCGTTGTAGACGGTTAGCTGTGTATACCGGGATACGTTTCTTGGAACCGAATATAGCCAGCGGTGGTTCGTGATCCATCACAAGCGTGAAGTGTCGGCCGTCAAGCATTTTATGGAACTTTCCCACCCAAAAAATGATGGCTCGAGCTCCTTTCTCCATTCGGCCGTCATTCTCTTCAGCTGGAGCGACCTTGCGGCATGAGCGATCGCCTTTTGCTTATCACCGGGAAATGTGTGGGCAATGACTGCACTAGCTCTGCGGTTCGATGGGTCACTTGTAAGAACGACAGGCAGTTGGTGGTTGAGGTGCGTGAGCAGAAGTTCAGACTGCAGCAGCCTCTTCACTTCTTCGAATGCAAACTGACAGTCGCGTGACCAATCACACCGATATCCTTTGGTCAAAAGTCGGTTTAAAGGTTGGCGCAAGCGACGCATATTTGGCAGGAAGGCGCTGTAGTAGCTAATCAACCCCAGAATGTCTTGAGTTCAGAAACATTCAATGGTGGGGCATTCTCACAATTGGATTGATATTAGACAGGTCGGGTCGACAGCCGTTTTTGTCGATAATAAAACCAAGGTATTTCACGGAATGAAGGAAAGGCTCACGTTTTTCCTTCTTTAACCGGAACCCGTGGTCATTTATCCGCTGAAGGACAGCGTCCAATCAGGACAGAAGGTCCTTTTTTGTGGCCCCAACGCCGATGATATCGTCAACGTATGCGGCAACTCCGGTCAGATCACACAACATTGTGTCCATGATCTGCTGGAAGATGGATGGTGCAGTTTTTGCTCCAAATGGCAATCGAGTGCACTGGAATAGACTACGGTGCCTATTGATCGTCAGAATGTGTCTGGATTCCTCTGCGACTTCGACTTGCAGGTAGGCTTCTGAAAATACGCGCCGCCGTTCATCTTGGCAAAAATATCATGCGGTAATGGCAACGGATAGTGATGACTGTCCAAGGCATCATTCAAACCTGTAGGGTAATCGGCACATATACGTAAGGCACCCTTGGGCTTTCTGACAACCACGATTGGTGAAGCCCAGGAGGAGTAACTCACCGGTTTCAGGGCTCCGGCGTCTTCAAGGCCTCTGAGTTTAGCTTGAAGGATTGCTAAAACCGCGTTTGGTACTGACCTTTTGGTTCAAAAACTGGCTGAACTTCAGGGCGCAGATGAAGCACCGTTTTTGCTTTCGAGCAACAACCCAAACCTCCGCTGAAAACGTCTCCATATTTCTGTTGTAGTGACAGGATCGCGGCACCTATCATGTTACTCGTCCCAGGCCCTCTAAATTTAGGTTGGTTTTGATACGCATAAGATGTCGATCGACAGTGTTGAAAGATGCAGGCGATCGATCCACTGTATGCCAAGGGGATTGAGCCCACAACCTGTAAGACGGACAATACCACGACTACGGTGGCCTGCTATCTCCATCTCACAATCAAATTCACTAAGCAGTTGAAGCTTACCGTCTGAAGCATTTCTGGCAGTGTTCATTGTCGGTCTCAGTTCCGGTGATCCGGACTTCCTCCAAGTTTTCTGGGAAACAATCGTATTACCGGAAGCCGTGTCGAGCTGCAATCGAATTGTGATTCGGTTGGCGCTGATTTTAGCGTACTTGCAACGAGTGGCAGTCTGGTTATCAAATGCTGCAAGTATTACGTTGAAACAGGGTTCCGGTTGGCTCTGTTTGCTTCGTGACCTCCAGGTTTGACTGCGTCTTCGGCCAGCTTTCCGCGTCTGGCACTGGCGTTTCTTGTGCCCACGTCGATTGCACACCGGAAATTTGTGCTTTTTATACGGACACAATCACACGAATGCCATTCGCCGCATTTCCAGCACGCAGAAGGATTTGTCACGATGCCGTCTTAGCAACGCTGAAAGTGGGGTTGGATACTGGCCTCTCCAACATGACCGCGTCGTGTTTAAGATTTCAAAGGCGCTGGCACTCATGGGTAATTGACTGCAACGTTATCTAGGGAGTTTGTTCAATCTTGCTTAGTAGTCTCGCCCTGATATCACTGTTTGAATGCGATTGAAAACCACATATAGAAATCAGACACTTGAACTGGTTTTCCGTCAGGGTAGATAACTTGAATTGTTCGCATTCAAGGTTGACTCACCAGCATAAGTGATGTAGTCATCAGTCACCTTTTTCCCCAGTTTCATACGTTGCTATCGAATATTAGACAAGGACGAACGCTCACTGGAAATTGTTGAAAGTTGCTGCACGGTTTTGTCAAAACTGAGATTTCGCGTGTTTTTAAGCAGGATAAAGTTAAAATGCCGTGTGCGTTCCGATGTGTCAAGCTTTCCGAGCAATGAGCGTACTTTCCAGGCATTATCTTTGTGCTACATTTCGACTTGGAAAACATCTTCCTAATGTCTGAGCCACGAATCGAAGGTTAAGCTGGTCATAATGGAACTCCATGATGCTGTTGGCGAGTAAGTTGACTGAATTTG